AGGCAAAGCGAGAAATGCGAAACAAAACGAGAATAGCGAGATATAAAGCGAGACAGGGACACACAGGGACGAAACAAAGCGAGACAGAGTGAGACAAAGCGATATGATACGAGATACGCCGAGACAAACGAGACAAGGCGAGACGCGAGACAAAGCGGACAAAACCGTAATAAAACGAGACAAAACGAAACAAAACGACACAAACCATGACAAAACGAAAAAAAAAGCGGAGACAAGGCGAGATAAGCGAGTCAAGAGCGACAAGGCAAAGAGCACTCGAGGACCCAAACGGTACCAACACAACACACACACCACAACGCCCACACGATGCGCACACGCACGCGCGCGCGGGGTCTTCCAAGCATAACAACAATTAGTCGCTGTCGTTGGCGGGGGGGGGGGGAGGTGCGGAAGAGGCGTCGTTATGTCGTGGGGAAGAGGGAGAGGAAGGAGATGGGGAAGGGGAAAAATTGAGGGAGGGAGAGAGGGGAAGGAGGGGGAGAGGAGGGAGGGAGAGGGAGGAAGAAGGAGGGAGAGGGAGGGAGGAGGGAGGGGGAAGAGGGAGGGGGAAAGGGAGGAAGAGAGCAGAAAAGGGATGGGGAGGAGGGAGGAGAGAGAGGAAGGGGAGATTGAGGGAAAGAAGGGAAGAAGGATAGGAGGAGGGAGGAGGAAGGAGAGAAGAGCCGAAGGAGAGGGAGACAAAGAGAGGGAGAGAGGAGGAGAGGGAGAGGGAAGAGGGAGAGAGAGGGAAGGGGAAGAGGTGGAGGGAGAAGAAGGAGAGAGATAGAGAGAGAGAAAGTTGAAGACAGACAGGCAGAAAGATAACAAAAAAAAAAAAGAAAAAAGAAAAAGAAAAAAAAAAAAATAGAAACATGCAAATATCCACATCCACAGACGATATGAAAGACATTATTGATATAGAGACCCTCATGTCGTAACGTTATATATTAATACTAGCCGACAGAATCCAATAGCATTTATTTGATACAGATATATTGTGCTCGCCAAATCTACCTTTTCTTTATGGATATTGTTCCTGTTATTGCTGCTTATGGTGTCGTTATTCTTAATCTATTTTCGCTTTATTGTGTCACTGTATTGTTCATCTTCCGTTGCGGTTAGTATAATGAAAGGAATAAAAAAAAGGAAAGCTATGGTAGAGATAGAGAAAGAGCGGGATATTTTTCTTTTCTCTCATTTACGAACGCAAACATGGCCCCTCCTCCCATACACATAATCACAAATACGAAAAAAAACAACGAAAAAAAAAAAAAGAATCAACAGTAAAAACAGAAAAAATAGACGAAAAAACAGCACCACTAGAAAGGAAAATGTAGCGACAATAATAACGGTTAAGAGCAGCAGTTATCCTCACCGCGCGCGCCATCTGCCGGTGATAGATGTCGCTGCGGAGGAAGGAGGCGATTGGCGGGCGGGAGCGAAGGGGGGAGCCAATTAGGACGCAGGTTTTGAAGGGGGAAGGAAGAAGAGGGGAGAGAGAGGATTGAGAGGGAGGATGGGAGATGGAGAGAGAAGGAGGGGATGGAGAGGAGAGGAGGGGATAGGATGGGAGAGGAGAGGGAGGAGAGGTAAAAAGGGAGAAGGTGAACTGGAAAGCGAGCGATCGGGTAAGAGCGCGCGCGCGCGAGAGAGAGAGAGAGAGAGCGAGAATGGTGAGGGAGAGAGTGGTGAAGGAGAGAGATGGTGAGAGAGAGAGAAAGAGAGAGAGAGAAGGGATAGAGAGGGAGGTAGATAGATAGACAAGCGAGAGAGAGAGAGAGAGAGAGAGAGAGAGAGAGAGAGAGAGAGAGGAGAGGAGAGAGAGAGAGAGAGAGAGAGAGAGAGAGAGAGAGAGAGAAGATGGGTGTGGTGAGAGAGAGAGCGGGACGGAGATAGATAGATAGAGAAAGAGCTAGGGGAGGTGGAGTAAAGAAAACAAAGAAAAGGGACAAGTGGATGAAAGATCGAAAACCAATTTCGTTGATAATAGCTAATTACGCGGAGAAACCTTTTTTTTATTATTCCTCGATGCACTGACGGTAGAATAAACTGTTCCACATTATTGTTTTTTTTTTCAATTTCTACATTTGGAAGGAACGAATCTACACGACTGGTGTAAAAATGACTCAGGAAAATGGAAAATACATTGATATTTAAACGAATAGCTTATAATTTACACGGAAGATATGCCTAATTTGCCGCGAGACAGCTCTAAATCTCCATTTAATCTGCGCCAAATGAGCGTTAATAAAGATCGTTCTTTTAGCTTTTATCTCTTTATTTTTTGTATCGCTTTTAATCTCTCGTTTTCTGACGTACGTGGCATTTTCATCGTTTTCGGATTATCGGACCAAGAATATAATATTTTATCAGATCTCATTTAACTCTTTATTTATGAATATAAGAAATCTTTCTTGTCAAGTATTTTCAGCGTTCGTGTATCACTCCAATAGGATTAAGTGTTCTCTTTGGACGTTCGCGTACGTGTTTACGGATTCATGGATGAGAAGGTTAAGTGATCCTCCATCTTGCTACACCCACTTGGCCCGCCATATTACCACACCCAATAAACGATTTTTTCCCCCTTTCGCTTTAATGTATTATTCAGTTTAATCCATCTTGTAGTCTAAGAGGAAGAGCTTATATCGTCTGATATATTTCTGACAGGAGGTAATTCATTATGACCCGGCAAGAGAGTTTAAGCTGAGAATCAGAAAATGTGTGTGTAAATTTCAAAAACTTTAAAGAGATTTCGCTTCGAAAAACAAACTTTCAAAGCCAACCTTGCAACCCCACAAGGAAATAATGCACCAATTCCAGAAATATGTAGATAGTTTTGATATGCATTCGGATAAAGTTAGTCATTAAACTTGGCAAGCAAATATTGTCTGAAATTATATGCGAACGGTATTTCTTGCAAGTTTTAAAATTTGTGTTTATAAGCACCTTTTTACCCTTATTAAGATCACGAGACCCTGTATCTCTTGCTTCCAACTAATATCATGTTTACAGCCTTGATCAACGTAGAAAGTGACAATGTGCGAATAAATGTCTTAAAAAAGAAAAAAAAAAGAAAAAAGAAAAGAAAGAAAAAGAAAAGAAAAAGAAAAAAGAAAGAAAGAAAGAAAGAAAGAAAGAAAGAAAGAAAAAAAAAAAAAGAAAAAAAAAGAAAAGAAAAGAAAAGAAGAAAAAGAAAAGAAAAGAAAGAAAAGAAAGAAAAAAGAAAGAAAGAAAGAAGAAAAAAATATATATATAAGAATAATAATAAAACATGAAACTGGACGTATTATATGTCTATGTATAATATCTGTCCATCTGTTTCTCCATCATTTTATTCACATCTCACCAATACCAAAATGTCAGTCATTATTTATAATATCTTAAATTACTTCCCTAAGAGGCATATTTGAGAGAAGAGGGAGGGGGGGGGGGTGGTGAAAACGCTGTGAAATTGTATCCTCTTTTTTATTCTATTTTCATTTTATTTTATTTTTATGATAAGCACTTTTCGAAATATCTTAATGTTTTTATATGTCTGTTTTTTATGTTATCATCACACTTTTTACTCTCTTTAATCACATTTTCAACTCTTTCAGTGTCACGTATATTTCATCACACTTTTATTGCTCTAAATAAGATATTCTACACATTTTCCTCACTCTCAACATCACACCTTTGTTAATCATATTTTTCGCTCTTCCTCTTCAACACGATCTTACTGCATATATTTCATCACACTTTTTATCTTTCACATTGCATTTTAAAATCATACTGGTATAGCTCTCAACTTCACACACATTTCACCACACTTCCGCCACTTTTCTCACCACACAATCATCACTCTTCGGCTGTAATCATCATTTTTGTTTCCACACTTTCCACTTCGCCATCACGCCCTGGTAGAAGGTTCCCTGACTCCCTGGAATTATAAATACTAAGAAAGTTTAATTACAGTTTTGCACTGGGACCTCCTTTGTGGGTATATTCGTTTCCTGAAAGAAATGAAGACACACACGTTGGGTATTCATGAAAACAAAGAAACACACACACAGACGCTTAAAACAACTCACTCAGTCATTATAGAGGTACACTTACACAGACATATATATACAAAAAATAGACACGTTTATAATTAACGAAGGTCTCTCTCTCCCTCTCTTCTTTCTTCTTTCTTTCTTGTCTGTCTCTCTCTCTTCATCATTCCCTCCCCCCCCTCTCTCTCCATCATTCCCTCCCCCCCTCTCCTCTCCGTCATTCCCTCTCCCCCCCCCTCTTCATATACATACACCTACACACAAAATAAGGAATATGACACACACACGCACACCAAACCAAATAAAGAGCATCAAGCGACCGCATCGTAAGTCCGTCGTGATCTTCCTGTCTTTCATCTGCCACTAAATGAGAAACCTCTTATCATCTTAATAACGTTACCTTAATTACGTCAGGATCATTAATTAGAAGCTCATCCGGGTCTTTGATCCATAAATAGTGCCATATTTTATTAAATTGTTCCTCCGATGACCATTAATCAGTTTACTAAAAGGACAAAAATAGAAACGTTTCCTTTAGCAGTTCCGGAATAAACAAAAGCGTTCGTCAGTTCTTGCCGGATTCATGTGGATATGTAAACACCCTTTGGAGAACGCACTGGATTAGAATCCGGATCTCGTACGAAGAAAGCGTTTTTTATCTTTGCATTTTTTTTTATGGCTATAGTTTTCGCTGTTATCATTATGATTGTTATATATTATAATTCGTATTGCTAATGTTATCACTTCTTATTATCACATTATCGTTACTGTTACTGTCAATATTATTTTTGGTTTTGAAAACGCTGAAGGCCGGATACTGAAGGAGCTCATGGCTCCGAAGCTGGTAGTGTGTAAAGCCCAAATTTACTTACCATTTATTTTTGTGTTTGTTTGATATAGTTGTGGGTTAGAACATATTATACACTGTACTAATATCACACAAATACACACAAACAACCTACTGACCCGACTTGCCGACACCGTCGGTCCCGAACACGGCGATCTTGACGGGGTCTGGACTCGTCACGATGGAGGCCCTTCTGCTGTCGCACGTGACGATGGACGCGCGTCGCAGCGGCTGCCCGGGCGGCGCAAGGAGGCCTGCCGACGCAGCGGCCTCGTCCAACTCCTTCCCGTTGTATCCCACGGCTCCTTCGACCTCGGACTCCGCCCCGGCGCCCTCGGTGTCTGTCTCGCCGTCTGAGTGCCGTCCCAGGGTGTCCCGTCTCCGTCTCGGACTCCTGGAAGTCGGACTCCTCCGTCTCGTCGAAGACCTCGAGGCCGGCGTCCCTGAAGGCGCTCAAGGACGGCCCGATGTATCCTCGGCGCCGCCGCCCCTCGCCGCGCGGGTGGCGGTAGCCGAGCGTCTTCTTGTGCTTCCTCTCGGCGGCGCGGGCGAGGCAGTCGCAGAAGGGGAACTCCTCGTGGTCGCACTGCAGCCCCGGCGGCCCCCCCGCCTTCTCGTTGAGGCACTGGCAGAAGGGGAAGTCGTCGTGGCCGCAGTCCACGAAGCCGTCGCCCTCAGAGTCCTCCGAGAACTCCTCGCCGCGGCTGCCGCTCGACACGGAGTCGCCGTTCTCGCTGCTGCCGGGGCTCGTGCTGAAGGAGTCCCAGCTGTCGCTGCTCCTCAGGGGGCCCGTCGGGAAGGCGTCGTCGTCGTCGACGTTTATGCGAATGTTTGGGTTCATCGTATCACAACTGTGCTTGAGCTGCGGGTACGCGATGCTGCCGTTCGTGTGCACGTAGGACAGCACGCAGTCGCTGTCCTTCGGGGCGTGGGCGTGGCCTCCGGCGGGAAGACGAGGCCCCATGAAGTCTCCCGCACGAGTCTCCTCCTTCGGGATGCCCTCGGGGTCCATCACACACACGCGCGGCGCCCCAGAAATGCCTTGGTAGTCCTTGCAAGTCCCAGGATACGAGTGGCTCTGGGGGCGGTGTCCGGGGGGGGCGCGGGCGAGGAGGCGCGGGCGGGGCAGGGCGCTGGGACGGGCGGCGACCTTCTGTGCAGGCGTCGACGAGGCATCAGGGCGGAGGTGGGAGGCTTCCGGGGCGCGGGGGACCACCAGCTCCGTCTCCGTCATCATGGTGGGCGGCGCGTCCTAGCTGCCACCGCTGCCGGCCGGGGGCGTCGCCGTCATCGTCCGCCGGCGGGTGTCGGCAGCGCCCGGTTCTCTTCGGACTCCTGGCTACGGCGGCGCTC